AAAAAAAAAAAAAAAAAAAAAAAAAAAAAAGAAAGAAAAAAAGAAAAAAAGTAAGAATTGTTGCTATAGTATTTTTCTCATGGATATTAGGACCCCCCCCATTCTACCCATTGAATTGGTACAAAAAATTTGTACTTTCTTAAAGGTGTCTTCCTAAGGCCAGACTAGCTTTGGTAATATAAAACAGGATACACAAATAGTAGTATAGCTCAGTGGGACAGTGCCTGGCTTGCATGCGTGAAGCCCTGGGTTCAATATCTAGTTTCAAAACAAGAAAACAAAAACAAAACACCATCAAACCCCAAAATGAATAGTATGCAAACTGCCTGTGTGTGTGTGTGCATGCGTGCATGTGGTACCTGGGACTCAACCCAGGGCCTTTGAGCTACATCCCCAGCTACCCCCACTGTGGTACTGGGGATCGAACTTGGGTCCTTGCACTTGCGAGGCAGGTGGTCTGGCACCGCCCCCACTTTTTTCCCCACATCTTTTTTGAGACAGGGTCTCCCTAAGTCACTAAGTTGCCCAGGCTGGCTAGAATTTGTAATCTTCCTGCCTCAATTTCCCAGAGTGTTAAGATTAGAGGCATGCACCACCATACCCAGATAAACTGCTTTGATTTTAATAACTTGGCCTTACTATTTTTATTTTTTTTGAGACAGGGTCTCACTTTGATAGTACAGGATGGTCTTGAATTCACTATGTAGCCCAGGCTAGCCTTGAACTCACAGCGATCTCCTGTATCTGCCTCCTGAGTTCTGGGATTATAGGTGTGAGCTACCATAATCTGGCTCCTTAAAAAAGTAAAACGTTATTTTCTTGTTTTTTCCTATTCTGGAGCTTATTATGAATTGTGAAAAGAACAAGCAAAGGACTCCAAGAATGCCAGTGTAGTGTATACTTTGTCTAAGAGACCAACACAAACAGCTACTATTCTGCCTAATCAGCAACAGAGTACTACAGTGCATTATTTGAAATTAAATCCAAATATTCTCCTTTTTAAACTCAGGTATAGCTACCAGGAGAGCTAAGCATCACTTATTATCTACATTTCTTTATTCCTGGTGAGAATATTTGCAAATCACAATGGCACTTCTAGAACCCTTGCAGAGAAAGGCAATTTCCTAAAAAGCAAATTCTTTCCTTGGGGTAGAATATGGAAGCCCTGGATAAGACCAAACGCAGGCTAAGCTTTTCAAACACATTTGATTTCACCTTTAACCATTTAACTTTAACTGAAATTTAGGCAGAATATTCAACTACTTACTTTCCACTGTTCGTTCATACACTAAAGGAAGGGGATCCTCTGAAAAAGGTTCCAAAGATAAGGTGCTTCTCCCAATTTCTGACAGAAGTGGTAGAGATAGAGAGCCATTTCTTTGTACTAGCTTTTGGGAATCTTCAAACATTTTTGGCAACTAAATCTAAGCTAGTGAATCCCAGGCCCAATAAAAATCCTAAGCAGTCTCTTAAAATTTGTGAACCAGACAGACTGGCAGCTAAAAGAAAACTAAACAACAGGGCTATTTTGTGAGCTACCAAAATTAAAGCAGGCAGGCACTCTCCTATATAGTTCCTAAAGGTTTTGTGACTAAGTTCTAGTAGTCATAAGCAAAGAGATTATCTTCCCCAAATAACAAGATTTTTCATGAAAGATAGACAATTGCTTACCTTGATCTTTTAGATACTTAAAAAACACAAGGTAACTATTTCTATTTGATTTCTTTATTGAATTGTATTGCATTAGCAGTCACACTTCTAACTTGGTTTTCCTAGTTAGGATATCCTGATTACAAGTGTAATATGGATTGCTGTGTTGTTACTAAAACAAAAAAAAATCAAGTGTTTCGTATTTTCCAGCAATATGACTACTTTAAAAGAAACTTCATTTATTGTGACATGTTGATTAATGCACAAACAAAAATGGTTAGAACTGGTGGCATATAGTGTTTATTTTCCCCCCAGTATATGACCCCTCTACATAAGAAACAGTCTAGTGATTTGCATAAGACCACACAGCTACAAAAAGAGAGAATATTGTATTGGACCTTATCTTGGCACTGTTTTTAGAGTTTGGAACTAAATAAACAAGACCGCTCTGGACAGTATCTTGTTTTGTGTAAAACTCCTGGAAAGAGACATTCTTCAGAAGCCCATTCCCCTTTCTTATCTGTCACCTGCAAACAACACTAGAGAGGGTATTTGTCAGTATACTTTATCCAAGTCCCTATCTATGCCAGATCCCAAATCTTTTCCCATGCTATACAGAGTTTTAAAACCAAACCAAAGCAAAGCTGAAAACAAAACAACCAAAAATGGTCTTGAAAGGTTAGAGGTGGAGCTTAATGGAATAGCAATGTGCTTAATATGTACAAAGCCCTGGGTTTAATCCCTAGCACCAGAGGATAAAAACACAACAACAACAAAAAAAACACAACAACAAATTCCCACAAAAGTTGGTCTGGGGAGATTATGAAGTCTCCTTGAAAGGGATAGTGCTAGGGTAGTCAGAGCCTTCAGTGTTCAGCAATCTAAACTGTTAGACATGTCCCAGGGGCAGACACCAATGCCCTCATATATTTAAACTTTGAAGTTTAATCAGATTTCACACACAGGTGGAAAGCTCATCTCTCTTCTGTTTGTGTACATTTGTTCCTCCTCTTCATTCCAATCTTTATCCCTACAAAGTCTACGCCTAGTTTGAAAGCTAGTAAATTTTCTAGCTGGAATGTAGGGAGATAAATAAAACAAAATCTAAACTATGTTGGAAATATTCAGGCAGCAAGATGTCCTGAGGATTCTGAACAAAAAACAGAGTATTCAGAAGATGTTCTTCTGAGTATAAGGGCTCTTGTATCAAATTAGTGAGGACTCAGAGTGGAGGGGAAAAAAAAAGGCACTTGTCAGTTTGAAAGCCAGACAATTTTTATCATTCTCTAATTAGATAAGGAGGAAAAAAAAAAAGAACTCTTAGGTAGCAGAAAGAAGCAAGAGTCTTCCAGGGTCTGGCATCTGCAAGGAAATAAGGGGAAAAGAGACAGTTCTTAGTGCCTTTCAATGATAAAAGCACCAACTACATTTGACAATAGGCCATGCAACTATAATCTAATTAAATTCTCTTGGTCTGCTGGAGGTACCTGCTATTAACAGCAGAATACCAAGGCCTTTCTGGTCCTTTGCTTTAGTACCACTGTGCACAGAGAATTTCTAATTGTATTAAAGACCTTCTATGTAGACATTCATGTACTCTATTTACGTCAACAGTTTCACAAGTGAGGAGAAAATCAGAACTGACTCTCCAGGAAAGTGGCTCAGATAATTCTGGATTAATTCCAATGAATTTACATTGATCTTTTCCTCTTCTTTTTACTGTATTTACTCATTAATACAATATTTTTGAGCTGTTATAATGAACATTAGAGAATAAAAATTAATATGGCTTTACTTGCTTCTGTGGTACTTTTCTAGTAGAGTTGAGAAAAACAAATGGGATAAAATGCATTAAATACTAAGGGAACAAAGCATTCTCGTATACTGTATGTACACTTAAAAAAACTACACCCATAAATTCCTTATGGGAATGAATCATGTCTTCTATTTCTTCTGTATCCTTCCAAAGAAGCTAGAGAATTCTGTAATAGGCATTAGAAAATGATGCACCATTTTTATTAACAGGATAAAAAGGTCTGTGGCTGCTTAAGGATTCTTATCTAACTTAGGATAATTTTCTCTTTTTCTGATTCCTCAAGGGTTACAAAGAAAAGTAACCAGGGCCAGGAATTTAGATCAGTGGTACTGTGCCTGACTTACAAGCAAGCATAAGGTCCTGAGTTCAATCCCTGGTACCAAAAAAAAAAAAAAAAAAAAAGAAAGAAAGAAAAATAAATTTTCAGTGTTAAAGTAAACAGTGAAGAGTTAAATTTTAGACATGTCTGGTCTTAAGTTATAGAGATAAAAGTATCTCCAAGGTTTTAATCTTAAAAGTCATTATATTTACTAGGTAGGGATCTTTAATGTATGACCACCAAACAACTCGCACAGCACACCAGAGAGGAACTCAAAGTTCACCATTTATCCAGGTCTGTTCAATGTATGCTTTCTGGTACACCCTAATGTTGCTGTGTCTCTTTCCCTTGTGGAACCAAACCTCATTTTATGGCTTCCAGGTGTATTCAACAATTTTAAGTCAGAACCTACCAAGAAAAATGGGTAATATCTAGAAGATAAACACTCTTCATAGCTAAGAAGTGTTTGTTTTCAACATCTCTCTCTTTTTCAGACAGGGTCTTGCCATGTAGTTCAGGCTGGTCTTGAATTCACTATGTAGCCCAGAATGACCTCAAACTTGTGGCAATCCTACTGCAGCCTCCTGAGTGCTGATGTGTGCCACCACGCCCAGCTCATGCTTCACACTTCTCAGCAAAAGAAATATTAGTTTTTGGTACAAAATGAAGCCTAAGAGATTCATCAGCTTCACTCTCCAGAAAGAGTGAGCATGGAAAGCAACAGGCCAGTTATTTATTTTTAGGCTGAGGCAGGAAGATCATACTTGTGTTCAAGGATGGGCTACATAGATTTTTGGTTGAGATAGGGCCTTGCTATATATAGTTCAGACTGGTCTTGAACTCAAGAGTGATCCTTCTGCTTCAGACTCCTAAATTCTGGGGTATCAGATATGCCCCACCACACCTGACAGCCTGGGCTACAGAGTAAATTCGAGGCCAACCTGAACTACAATAGCGAGACCCTGTCTCAACCAACAAACCAAAGTGCCATCAAACATAGTCCCTCACGCCTACTAGCTGCAAGTCAGTTGGGATGTAATGCGATTGCCTGCTTTTGTAACATGCCCTTTACCATAAGCAATGTGGCTGGGCAACCTCACCCCAGGAAGAATCTGAACTATTAAACATGGCTCTGCCGTGGGTATACAAGGGAACCTCAAAAAAGGCTTCATTTGTGAAAAGTAAATGGTTTTGGTCTCTTTATATAGACTTTTGTGAGGTTCTGCTAACTCAACTACTCAGATGAGATGAACAATGCAAAACTCTTAAGAGATCCAAAACTTTTAAGTGCTCATTAAACAGAGTATGAATTTTTTGATGAGGATTAAACTATACTGCACAGGGAATGAATTGCAGAGCAGTGAAGCACAGCTGTCTGATTAATCTCAGTCCATTAAAAGAGGCATGATAGATCTAGAATGCAATTTTGATATAAAAAAAGGCAATGTGTAGTAATGTTAGGGAAAACAACTTAGCATGCTAACAGAATTCTAATTTAACCAGTAAATGCCTATTCATTAGCGTGCAAAGCTGTAACAAAGGCTACATCCTTAAAAAACACATGCACACACAAAGCTTTAATTTGGTACCATAATCTGAAAGAAAATTAGACTCAAATTGCTTTACGTCCAGTTAAATCTTGTGATCATCCGAAGATATAGTGATATAAAACTTAAATACTTACTTGAGAAAGATATTCAGTTACTGTGCATTTCCATCTATGAGTAGAAATATTTCAAAATAAATATGCTATGTCAACTGAAACCCACTACATTCTCTATGTTTGCTAAACACAAATAACTTATTCCTGAGATACACTGAATAATCATATAAAAGTAGAAGAATTTAAATTGGCAATCAGATTCCACATGAGCATAGTAAAAGAAAACAGTCCTTATCTAGCCTTTTGGTACATAATTTGGTAATCTCACATTTTTGGGAAATGAAAGTATCCAAAGAGAAATATTTTAAAAGGTATCTCTGGACATCAAAAATTATTTCAAATAGTAGCGAAGGATGAAATCAAGGGAATCTGAATTTAGGAGCAAAATTAGAAAATGTAAACTTGTATTAAGTAAAAATTACACCATCTTTGAATGAGGAAGTTCCTTTATCAGGTTATCAAATTTCCCCACAAGGTCAACATTGAACCTAACCATTGAATTTGATTCAGTTCTTATTCAATTTAGCTTGCAACCAGGACTGTGGAAAGAATTAAGTTTGTGAGTTGAGGTACCACTGTATTTTGATATGAATTTAGTAGCTGCACAATCAGCATGGCCTAGATATCTAGGGAAGACATCTGAATACAATTCTTATGACTCATAAATTTTTTTCTTATTCATTTCCTTTTAGGCCCCTGCAATACAATTGGTGATCCCAATTCCCCCTTTTTTCCCCATTAAGTTTATTTGGTACTTTTTAGGTATACAGTACAGTTACATTTATCATTGGGATCCCAACTCCCTTTTGATATTATGCCTGAAAAACCAGGGATGACTTCGTCTGAGCCCAAATCAACAGCCTTTTTATTGGTCCCCAAATTTACTCTTGGTACTTGATAATCAATGGTTATCTCATCTTGAAAATATTCTCCTGGTTCCTGTGCTCTTGAACTTTAATGTTCATAATTTCTTGTTTCTAACCAGGGTCAGATGTAGAGTGAAGTGAGATGCTTAGGATGTAAACTTGAAGAAAGTATTTACTTTCACTGTCTCGTAAGTGCAAGATGTTCAGAGAGAACACATCTGAATAATCAAGAGCAACTTTTAAAAACTTTTTGGCACAATGAAGGGAATAAAAGCATTTTTGCCTCCATTTCACTTACTGTTTTTCCATGGCAGAACATATGGCAGAGACTTGGGAACTCGCAAGCCTGAAGCCAGGTTGCTCTTATGCTCCATAACTATGTTGCTAGCAGGACTGCAAAAAAAAAAAAAAGAAATTCAACTATGTCACTATGTCAGCATTATTTGTATTCAGGCAGGTACATGTGAGCCAATCAAAAAAATTTTTTTGCAAGTTGAGTGAAAACAATATACATCCACGTGAAAAAAATGTAAACATATTTCCCTCAAGACATTCCTGAAATTAGAATGATTACCATTTCTCTGGAGGGCTCTCTGTTTTATACAGGGATTAAGATGAGTCCAACCATCTTCATTTTCCAGAAATTGAGATAAACAGCAATGCCATCTACTGTTCAATAGTATGACAGCTCATCAATTTGTTCAGTAAATGTAAGAGATAAACTAAAATGCCATTCAATCTAACCGAAGGCAGAAAATCTCACAGAATGAGGTAAAATTAAAGGTGTAATCCTTGGAATTCATCTTTAAGTTTTTGTCCTAAAATACACATAAAAAAACAAGAACCAAGATATATCATGTACAAGATCTCAATGATAACTGTAACTGCATTGTTTGCTTTAAATGTACCAATAAACTTAATGGAAAAAAATAAAGTTAAAAAGTTAAAGTAACTCCAACAAAAAATACAAATAAATATGTATACTTAAAATCATAACTGATCAGCTGGGCGTGGTGGCGCATGCCTGTAATCCCAGCAGTTGGGAGGCCGAGGCAGGAGGATCGCTCTGAGTTTGAGACCAGCTTGGGCTACATAGTGAGTTCCAGGTCAGTCTCAACTAGAGTGAGATTCTGTCTCAAAAAAAACAAACAAAAAAATCATAACTGATCTTCAAGACTAAGATGTACAAATCAATAAGCATTCTATTTGGGGAAAAAATGAAGTCTACATCTTATTCCTTCATTTTCTAATACAGAAATAATCTCATTTGGATTTGAAACTTGATCTAAGATCTGAGTATTAGTAGTAATGAGGAATCTTATGGTTTTAAGTTACATACAAAAATTAGTGGGAAAAAAAATTAGTGGGAAGAGATATATTTTTTTTCCCCCTACCCAACAGGAACTCTGGATTTTCTAATGTCAATTGAAAAAAAATTTTTTTTGCATTAATTTCTTTTGAGATAAGGTCTTGTTATATAGTTTAGGCTGGCCTTGAACTCACTATGTAGCCCAGGACGGCCCTGAACTTGTAGCAATCCTCTTCCCTCAGCTTCCTGAGTGCTGGGATTACAAATGTGCACCACTACACTCAGCCTTGGAAAAAATTTTCAAAGTATTAAAATAATGTAAACTTAGCAAAAAAAAAAAAATCCAACTACACACAAATGTCTGACACCACTGTCTTCCTTGTTAAGACTCTAAGGTAAGATGGCCAAGGATTTAGTCAGTGGTTCTGCTGCCTGCCTCACAGATGCAAAGTCCCAAGTTGGATCCCCAGTACACACACACACACACACACACACACACACACAAAAGACTCTCAGGTAATATTTTTATTTTTTTAATTTTTTTGTTTTTTTCAGACAGGGTCTCACTATGTAGTTGAAACTGACCTGGAACTATGTAGCCCAGGCTGGTCTCAAAAGATCCTCCTGCCTGAGGCTCCTGAGTGCTGGGATTACAGGTGTGCACCACCATGCCAGGCTTATTTTTATTTTTTTGAGACAGGGTCTCACTATGTAGTTGAGACTGACTTTGAACTCACTATGCAGCCCAGGCTGGTCTCAAACTCACAGTGATCCTCCTGCCTCAGCCTCCTGAGTGCTGGGGTTATAGGTGTGTACCACCGTGCCTGGCTAAAGTAGTATTTTTATATTCCCAGTGATTAGCACAAAGCACATGCCCTTTCCATGAATCAAGCAATAAATAAGGAAAAACTTCACCCAAACAAGGGACCAAAGAACACCATCAAGGAAAGACAGTGGCTTTTTTACTTTTGGTAACAGGACACTATGATTTGGGGAGGATAAAGTGAGAATTACACCATTTTATTTACCTGTTGTCATCACAGAAGCTTGCTGTGCCCCAGACAAATGGAGTAGTACTTTGTTCCCACAAATCTGCCAAAGGAAGCAAAACATAGTTTGTGGTACTACTACATATCAGTTCATGCTAAATGAATTTGCAAGATGGAAATTAATACTCCAAAGTTAGGAGATGCAAGTAAAAACTGATCAAGTACTTTCCCTACGTGACACAGAAACAGGAATTTAATTGAAGAATATAAACACAAGCTACATAAATAATAATAAACGTGCCTAGCAACAATCAAACACAGATGGTACAACAAAATTTATGGAAACAAACAGATGTAAAGAAGCACTTTTTCCAATCAAGAAGGAAAGGCTGTTCTACATGTCTGCACAGTGATACAAATGCGCTCATTTCGGGGCCCAATAAAAATAATAAAGCAGTTGAAAAACATGGTATGTTCATAAAAAAGGAAAACCTTCTGTTTTAGCAAATGACTTGAGATTTAGACATGGTGAAGAGAAAAATGTAGAAGCACTTCACCTTTGTCCCAATCTTCATCGCAAGGGGGACACTGCCATGTGCTCTCAGTCAGAGTCTCTTGTCCAAGGTTCCTGGTCTGGTTGACTGCAAGACAACAGAGATTTGACACAAGAATGAGATACTACCAAGTTATTGTGTTTAAAGAAGTCAGTGCATAGTGGTGCATTACTGTAAGCCAGCCTGAAATGAGAGGAGAGAGAGAGAGAGAGAGAGAGAGAGAGAGAGAGAGAGAGAAATAGTAGTTTAAAAGGAGGTTGCAGGATAGCCTAATTGGTCTTTGTTTCTAAAACATAGATAGTATGAAGCTAAACAGGGGGTCTTATCTTTGCTGACAGAAAATAAAGAGAAACAGAAACAAAGACATTTACCATGTTTATGGCAATAAAAAGATTTTATTTTTAGATGCTTTATTAGTAAAATGCATCAGGCAGTTCAGAAGAGACAGTGTAACACACAACTAGGCAACCTATTGCTGCTATGAGACAAAGATCTCAAAAGCAGAAAAAATATTTTGCTTCTGAAATGATGAAAGCCAAAAATCAAGTTGACAATGTAGCATAACACAAATCTGAATGAGCTAACCTCTACTCCTGAAAGGTTTTAGCTAGCCAGGCTTACCCACGTCCTGCTCAATGCAACTCTTGTCCTCACAGCTCGAGATATGGTGACTGATTTCAGCCCGAGGAACCCGGTGGCGAGCATTGAAGGGACAAGTAGCCAATCTGTTTGCAATATCAGGATGATTCTGTGAAACCAAAATTAAGGGATCTGTCAGTTCTTTGGAACTCTTTTTAAATCCAAGGGGAGTGGCTCAGCCTTATTCTATAAATGGGTTCCCTAAAATTCCTCAATAAACTTAATGGCCTAACTATGGTAGGCAAATTTCACAGAAAATTTACAGGGAATTATTTATAGGCCATTTAGATGTTACTTCAAAACCATTAAATGTATACCTCTTTGTTATGATTATAGAGACAGACAGTATAGATACTGGAATTTAAGTGGCTTACACAGAACTAAACAATAAAAATGAACCATTTCTTTTCTCTGTTTATTTCCCAGTCACAAGATTCAGGTGGCACAGCCTGTAATGGTAGAGCTCTCTGAAAGCTGATATTCAGGATAAATAGTAACACTACCCATACTCAGTCTGCATTGCACTAGTGCCCTGCTATGGCAATACAGTACTCTGGAAAATAGCTGTTTTAAAGGAGCTGCAAAAGAGACAAATCAATGATTTTCCAGATTAACACAGGACACTTACTTGAAGTAACGATGCCTGAAATGAGACTCTGAACAGTCTGACCTTTACTTAAGCTATTTCTGCACAGAAAAACCCCAAAAGATAGACAACTTTGCTGAGTTCCTTGTTTTGAAGAAAAAAAAAAAAGTTCAATATCACCCAAATCCTATGGTGAACACATCATAAGAAATTTATTGGCAGCCAGGCGTGGTGGCACATGCCTGTGATCCCAGCACTTGGGAGGGTGAGGCAGAAGGATTTTTATTGAGTTGAAGCCAGTCTGGGCTACATAATGAATTCAAGGACAGCCTGCACTACATAATGAGGCCCTGTCTCAAAAAAACAATAAAAAAAATTACCAAAAGAAAAAGATGCTACAAATGACACTCAAAAAATAAAAATTATGTGACACGGGGAGGATACTGGAAAAACTTATAGGATTATGAAACTTGTGAGGGCAGGAATCTCCATCATTTTTCATAAGGAGTATCAGGCTTTCATGCAAAGGTTTTATTTACGGACATTAGAAAATAGAGGAGTTATAATAGTGTCTTTTTATCACTTGTCTCCTCTTCCCAATTTTTATCTTGAGGAAATAACTTGAGAGGCTGGAGGAGGAAGATGCAGCAACATTTGCTGATCTATACTGTTCAGGTTTAACTTTAAGTGGTTCTTGTTCCAAAGATTAAAAAGAGTCAGAGAAATAATTAGCAAGGCACATTACGTTTCCAGGTTGTAAGAGAAACTTTTTGTGGTTGTGCTGTGGATCGAACCCAGGGTCTTGTACCTGCTAAGCACATGTTCTACCACTGAGCTATACCCCCAAATAAGAGAAACATTCAGTAAAGGATGCTAAATCTGAAATGTAAGCAGTTTGGATTAAATATTAAAGTTGTTTTCCCAGGTTAAATTCTGACTAATTTTGGTCTCTGCATCTGAGATGTGCATTCTAGCACTCTTGTCAACGTCTCTTAACTAACATAGCACTAAAGTAGTTTACATCTACGTCCATAAGAGTGACCAAAGATAATTTTTTTAAAGATATTGGAACGTGGAGAAAGTTATTTTTAATTTTTTGAGACAAGGTTTTGCGCTATAATTCAGGCTGGTCATGAACTCATTATATAGCCGAGTCTGGCCTCAAACTCATGGTGATCCTCCTGCCTCAGCTTCCTGAGTGCTGAGATTACAGGCATGCACCACCATGCCTAGCTTTTTTAGGAATGATTTTCTTGGGCTAACCTCTAGCTATTCAACCTCATAAAATTTCTAAACAACAACAACAACAACAAATCAGAAAATGTATTGTAGTACTCTCTTCTTTCAGGACAATAAACATATCAAATTTATAAGAGGGATTTCTCATTGTTAACAAAAATTAGTTTTTTATTTTCTTTACAAAGAATAAGATCCAGACATACTATTTGTAAAGGTAGCTTTGTCACTACTTGAAGAAAAAAATTTATGTATTCAAAGGAATAAATTTTCTATAAATGCTGGTGTTTAACACAGAGGCAAATTCTCAAAACAATTCTGGAATTCAACTAAAACATTTATGCTGAAACTATTTGATGTTTACAAAATCTGGCTTTTTGAAAGAACTCAAGAGGATAAATTATAAAAATAATATCTTACCTTTCTGCACTTGATAAGATGATAAGGAAACCTGCAGGCCCTGATCTGGTGGTTTTTATCATAGGGGCACTGCAATAGCTTTTCAGGGTCCAAGGAGTCAACTGAAAGGGAGGAAAAATACCTTCAAGTATGAAGTATAACAGACCTTTGTAAAACTACCGCATTTTAGGCACATTGGCTTTTTAAAAAAAAAAACAGAATCTATAAGATAGGTAATAGAAAAAGTCAGTCTAAAGAAAAATTAGCTTTTTCCAGGGATGTAGCTCAGTGCTGCTGTGCCTGCCTGGCAAACTCAAGGTTTGAGTTTGATCCCCAGTACTGGAAAAAAAAATTAGCTTCCAAAAAGGCTGACTAAACAATTTAAAAATAAAATGTAACTGAGAATATAAAACTGGTACTACTGATTTTTCCCCCTTTGGTACTGGGGATCTAACTTGGGATCTTGTGCTTGTGAGGCAGGCAGCAGAACCACTAAGTTAAATCCCTGGTCCATTTTTTTTTGGAGACAGGGTTTTGCTTGGTAGCTCAGGCTGGCCTGGAACTCACTATATAGCCCAGGCTGACCTCAAACTCATGGTGATCCTCCTGCCTCAGCCTCCTAAGTGCTGGGATCACAGGTGTGTGATATGTTAATAAATCCAGAACAATCAGCTGTTATAGGGTGAAGAATGAGATATTTTTGTTTGTTTTTTGTTTGTTTTTTGTACTGGGGATTGTACTTGCGCTTGTGAGGCAGGTGGCGGAACCACTGAGCTAAATCCCCAGCCCTGAGATCATATTTTAAATAGTTTTCATTAAAAAAAAGGGAAAAAATCCTAGAGATGGAGGGAGGGGAAGGGGATGAATTAAGATATGTTATGTACATGTACCAACCCCTCATAATGTAGTCATCTTATAGTACCAACATTATTTAAAAATTATTTTCATTGTTGGTTACTCTTGCCATAAAACAAAAACAAAAACAAAAAAAAGTTAAATGAAGTGATATTATCTTTTCCTTTTCTAAAAGCTCTAATTCAGGCTTATTTTTATTCTCTAGTTAATCCGATCAGAGTTTTCCAACCAGTTTGCTAAAGCTGGAGTAGACTGCAGGTGTGCCAATATATCCATTGTGGACCACTGCACTTGTAAATCACCCCACCACTTAAATCTTCAGCCAAATGGTCCTAGGGCAAGTTGAGGACAGTCAATCCCTTGCATTAGCATCCTTGTCTATACTGGTATCCATGACATAAAGTTGGTAAACACTGCTTTATTTATATTTTTGGTACTGGGGATTGAACTTGGGTCCTTGAGCTTGTGAGGCAGGCAGCAGAACCACTGAGCTAAGTCCCCCACCCTGCACTGCTTTATTTTAGTTATATTACTTTATAGAAGTTTAAGAAATATTAGTGGGTAGATTTTTTTGGTCTGTTTTTATTCCTAGAACTGGTTCCTGATCATTGTGACTAATTACCTCTCAAATGACACCACTACCTTTAACAGACAAGTGGTTTCACTTTCTCTATTTTGGGACACAGATGAGGAGGAAAAAAACCCAAATAATTCTTAATCTAGTGACTGCCAAACTAGATAGATTAAAAAAACAAAAAACAATTTGTAAAAACAAAATTTCCTGGGGTTAAGACAACACAGACACGTGGAACTTCTGTGTGGAGGAAAAACCCCTAATTTAGATCATACTTCTAAAAAACTGCCCTCATGATATACAAGATACCCTGGCTGAGCCCCAAATTTTAACAACTATAGCTAAGAAAGGGAAATTAAATGGATAAGAGCATTCTTTGGAGAACAGGCAAATGCTCTTTCCACCCTTAGAACTAATTTTTAAAAGTGAAATGAGATAAACAATTCACATTTGGAAGAAGCTTACAAACCATGAGGCTGCAGTGAAAATCAGAAGCCAGTTGGGAACTGAAATAGACAGTTTCACTGGAAGAGCAGTAAACAGGGAAGGCTAACCATGATCGTGATGCAAATGAGCTAGAAAGGTGACTTGAAGGACGCAATGAATAGGCAGAAAAAGTCTTAAAGGACAGGCAAGCTTATTATTCCAACCAAGCTCTTCTTGACCAGGAATCTTTTCCTATTTCTGAAGCTACAGGGAGCATTTAGAGATGAAATTCTTATTAGTTTCCCTTCATTTAATCCATTCCATCACTTGAAAATGTTAGGCCATGTCAGCAGCTGACAGACTGGATGTGCCTTATGATTTATACATATTATACTGCCCATATAGTAGCATATGCCAGAGTGGATAATGAGAGCTTCCTACCATGCTTTACTTCTTGGTGTCTGGCAATTAGTTCTAATCTGGTTTTCTATGTAAAACAAAAAATTATTTTCCTTTCTTTTATACTTTGGTAACGGGGCTTTAACTCAGGACCTTGTGTTTGCAAGGCAGGCAGTGGCACCACTGAGCTAAAACCTCAGTTCAAATTATTTTATTTTTAATTAAGAAATTAAAAATTGTAATAATACATATAAAACATTATTTTAAATATACATAGTGCTAAGTATATTCACAATGTTGCATAATCTCCAGAAGTTTATTGTCTCAACAAACTATATCCATTAAACATCATCTCCCCAAATCTCACTCTCTCCAGGCCCTGGAAATCATTATTCTACGTATTTTAGATATTTCACAGAAGTGAAATCATACATCATTTGTTTTTTCTGTAATTAGATTATGTTATTTAACATAATACTCAAGAGTTCATCCATGTTATAGCATATAATAGAATTTCCTATTTGGAAATTTTCTTTTTTTCGAGACAGGGTCTCACTATGTAGTTGAGACTGAACTGGAACTCACTATGTAGCCCAGGCTGGTCTTGAACTCACAGTGATCCACCTGCCTCAGCCTCCAGAGTGTTGGGATTACAGGTGCGCGCCACCATGCCACCATGCCAGCCTGCTTTTTTTTCTTTTTACTAAATATATATATTTTTTGGTACGGGGAATCAAATTCAGGACCTTGGGCTTGCCGGGCCTTGCCTTGGTGCCACTAAGTCACATCCCTGGCCCTTCTTTTTCTTTATTCATTTTGGTTATGCTGGAGATTGAACCCAGAGCATTGTGCATGTTAGGCAAGCACTCTACCACTGAGCTATATCCCTAGCTCTTCATGTTTTCTTTGGAGCTTCCTTGTCAGTGTATAAAGAATACATCAATGCCGTATATGGATGTACCACAGATTCTTAATAAGTTCCCTTGTTGATGGGCATTTGTTTCCATTTTTTTATTACTCTGTACAATACTCTAACAATCTAGTTTATACTTCATGCATTATATGAGTATGTTTCTTGAGAAGATACCTAAGCATGCTGCAGTGATGCGTAGGCGCATTTGAAGTTGTAATAAACACTATCAAACATCTTTGTTTTTTTTTTGTTTTTTTTTGGGTACCAGGGGTCAAACTGTGGACCTTGTGCTTTCCAGGCAGGCAGCAGAACCAGTGAGCTAAATCCCTGGCCCTATCAAACATCTTTGTAACAATTTTGTCTGGCTTCCCAGGACTATAACTTACTTTGGAAAACAAAGTAGGTCCTATTGACAAGCTTGCTCCCAAAGCATTGACTGTTCCTCAAATTTGAACAAGGCCTGGAACTCATGGTAAGAAATGGAAGAAATTTTATGGGAATAAGAAACTAGGCCAAATGTATCATCAGTTGAGGGGCAGTCCAAAGACAGAAGATGGAGATCTTTAGAACCCTTATCAGGGCCGGGGATTTAGCTCAACTGTTTCGCTGCCTGCTTTGAAAGTGCAAGAACCTGAGTTCGATCCCTGTACCAAAAACAAAACAAAACAAAAAAACCCTCTTTTCAGATTAAGGTTGGAATTCTAGGACAATTTGCTAAAGAAATCAAGTATATTCTTACAGTTTTTCTCAAACTTCGTATATCACTCCCAGGTGTTATTTAGGGATTATTTAAAATACAGATTCTGGGGCCGGGGATGTGGCTCAGTGGTTCTGCTGCCTGCCTTGCAAGCACAAGAGCCTCAGTTTGATCCCCAGCATCCCACCCCAAAAAAAACAAAAACAGATTCTGATTCAGTAGGTTTGGGATAAGGCCTGACAATACATTATTTATTTCCCATTAAGTTTATTGGTACATTTAAAGCAAACAATAGTTACATTTATCATTGGGATCTTGTACTTTACATGATATATCTTGGTTATTTTTTCCCCATACCCCTGTCCTTCCTTCACCCCCTTCACCCCTCCCTATTAACAAAGAAAACATATATTCTTTTTTGGTACCAGGGATTGAATTCAGGTTTCTAGCCCATGACATTGCATGTCTAAAAAGCTCCTTGGGGCAGGGGATCAGTGGTGTCACACCTGCCAGGCAAGCACAAGATCCTGAGTTTGATACCTGGTACTGAAAAAAAAAAAAAAGAAAAGAAAAAGAAAGAGAAATCTAGAAAGCTACTTGAACTTTTTTGCAAGAAAAATTGTAAGGAGGGCTGGGGATTTAGCTCAGTGATTCCACCACCTGCCTTGCAAGTGCAGGGACCGGAGTTCGATCCCTGGTACCAAAAAAAAAAAAAAAGTTGTAAGGAGAGCCCTAATGAAGATTAAAGACAATCAGCATTCTAGATCAATGATTCTCAAAGTGTGTTCTCAGAACAAATGCATCAGCATCATCTGGGAATGTTAGAAATGCATATTCTTATACCCCATACCTTCTGAATCAGAAACTCTAGGGTGGGACATTTTTTTGTTTTGTTTTTTTGAGACAGAGTCTCACTATGTAGTTGAGACTGACCTGGAACTCACTATGTAGCCCAGGCTGGTCTTGAACTCACAGAGATCCTCCTGCCTCAGCCTCCCCGAGTGCTGGGATTATAGGTGTGTGCCACCACACCTGGCAGCCCTTTCTTATTTTCAGACAGAGCCTCTTTAACTGTCCAGGCTGGGCTTGAACTTGTGACCAGACTGCCTCAGGCTCCCAGAGTGCTAGGTAGGATTACAGGAGTATACCACCATGCCCAGTTTAGTATCTATATTTTGGTGATGAAGATCTGCACTACACTTTTCAGAAGGCATAATGAAGCTAACCTACCCTTTAGTTGGAAGTACTAATTATAACAAGATACTGGTGTGTGTGTGTTTGTACCGGGGATTGAACTTGGGACCTTGTGTTTTTGAGGCAGGCTGCAGCACCACTGAGTTAAATCCCTGGCCCCTTATAACAAGATTCTGAATAAGACAGCAAAATAGGAAACAAAGCAGGCCCTGCTGACACTTTTTTTTTTTTTGGTACTGAGGATTGAACTTGGACCCTTGCACTTGGCAAGGCAGGTGGCAAAACCACTGAGCTAAATTCCCAGCCCTGTTGACATGTTTTATTACACCAACTCTGATGCTCCTCAAATTTGGTCAGGGCCTAAAGATCCTAGTGCCTGTGCTATCAAGTAGAGTACTAAGCATAAACACAGAAGATTCTGGTCCTATTTGTCTTAAACTAACAGGTAACCTTGGGCAAATCAATTATTCTAGGCTCTGCTTTTTTCACTGCAATAAAATAAGTGATTTTCAGGTCCCTTTGATTCTAACTTGTGTGATTCCAAGTACTGACTTTGATTTTTTTGGGCTTTCTAAATTTTCTGGATCACTTGGGAAATAAGAATCCTTCCCAGGATTTCTTATCCTAAAAACTCAATGTACAATAACCTTTTTTTTGGTACCGGGGATCTATTTTTGCCATCTTTTTTTTGGCACTGGGGATCAAACCTGAGACATTGTGCTTGCAAGGCAGGCGGCAGAACCACTGAGCTAAATCCCTGCCCCAATGTACAATAATCTTATTATGTATACTACATTACCCCTCAAAATAGAAAGCAGAAGTTACTATTTCTGTGTCAAATATACAAGAAGCTAAAGTTCTAAGGAGGTAAAAGTGCCTCACTTAATTAAAATACAGTTTATAGAACACATAGCATGTGCAAGGATTGGGTTCAATCCCAAGCATCAAAAATACCAAAGCAAATATACATTTTCAGACAGTTGTCCTACTTAACTGTTTTGTCAAAGCTGTATGATTTCTCATAGCTTTTTAATTACTTAAGTTTCAAGTGTCTTATTTCAAATTTGGAACTCTTCTGTACATCACACAGACCTTTCTTCCTCAGTAGTTCAGGGAGAAATTTGAATTTTTCACAACACACTAAAAGTCTAGTCAGACATAAAACTATATGTATATAACTTATTTTCTAAAAGCAATAAGAAGTGTACATACTGTAAGTGTCTTCCATGCTGAAAACGAAGGAGCTGATTTCAAGTGCTGGGGAAAAAGCATGAATCAGGGAATCAGAAATGAAATTTACCAAAGTAGGGAAACCACTGCTTCTTGAATTACTACTTAAATTCATTATAAGAAATCCTTAGCATGTGCCCTCTTCCCTAAACATTTTCTCTCTTTAAAAACTTTCTTGTGCTGGGTGTGGTGGTGCACACCTGTAATCCCAGCACTCAGGAAGCTGAGGTAAGAGGATCACTGTGAGTTCGAGACCAGCCTGGGCTACATAGTGAGTTCCAAGTCAGTCTCAACTACATAGTGAGACCCCCGTCTCAAAAAAACAAACAAAACAAAACAAAACAAAACAAAAACAAAAAAACCCCAAAACAAACAAACAAACAAAAAACACACAAAAAAGGCTTTCTTTCCTCCTCAGATGCAGTATTCCGGTTTGGACCCAGGCTCTTACACATGGTAGGCAAGCCCTTTTTATTTTTTGAGATAGCTACCCAGCTGTCTCAGCTTGGCTTTGAATTTGCAATCCTTCTACCTCAGCCTCTTGAGTAGCTGGGATAAAAAGCATACACAATTTACACCTGACTCCTCTGAAACATTTTTAACATTACTGCCTAATCTACATTCTTGGGATAAATTCTAGGGCCCACAAATTTGCTACTACTATTTACCTGCTATTAGCAGTTTACCTGCTATATAACACTAGAGGGTATAAGACAAGACCTTACAAATACTTATTATTTGAATTCTGGACAAACACAGGAATAGGGTACTTATTTTCTGAGACAGGGTCTTGCTATGTATTCCAGGCTGGCCTCAAATTCACTTTGAGGCCCATGCTGGCCTAAAATCTGCAGGATCCTCTTGCCTCAGTCTCCTTAGTGTAAGTGTTGGGATTACAGGTGTGTACCACCATGCCTGGTTTAGGGTACTATTTTAAAGCTCTCAAGTTTCTAAAAATTACAGTTTAGGCAAGCCACCCGTCTTGCCCCTCTCTAGGATCTGGGAATGATGGACATCTATGTTAGACAGTGTATCCTTAACGTATTCAAAATTCTAGACATTCTAGATTGCAATTTTTATGACTTTTCTTAAACATGATCAGGAAGTGCCACACTGTTTCCCCTTTCTAGGGATGCTTCATTTTGCCTTCCCCTTCCAGTCTCTGCTAATATGGCAAGACTTGTTGATTTAAACCTCTTTAGTTGATATTGAAGTTCCTTGAGAATGTTAGGACCCAAGAACTACCTACAGTATATTATGGATAACACAGTTATGAATGAAAAAAATCTGACAGAAATATGAAAGATTGAGTGAAATTGTTTCATAGTTTTAATCCTCTTTTACTAGAGCTTGCTATTGAAAATTATAATTAAGTAAAACATTATGAGAAAAAACTAATTCTAGGTAAAACTACTCCCATAGGAAGCTTCTAAAAATTGGTTATATTTACAGCTGTTGTTTCTAGGCAAGCTCTCCTTTGAGCTCTCATACAATTCCATCCCCTTCCCCCCATTCTATGACATAAGCAGCTGTAGAACTTATGTTAGGAAATACAAGTGTTCAGGTGATGGAGCCCATTTGTTAGTGACAATCATTAAACTATCTGAAAATATTTTTTTCATGTTTGGATTAAGAAATTCTGATCTTTTTAATACACAACTATTTCACTTTTCCATTAAAAATAAAAGTTTTGGAAAAAAGAACCAAGTATTCAGTTTCTTGATTTTAAAGCATATAAAGGAGTGATAACTGATAGATTCAGCAACATGCAGGGAACCAATCTATTCTTTCCTGCAAAAAGACTAATTATAGTAAATCAAGGACACTGGAATTTTTAGTATCATCACTCAACTGTGTTCCTTTAAATATCTTCCACATCAAATTATTAACAGGTGATCCTTTTCCTTAGTACCAAACCAGTGATCTGGACAAACTGTGAAGCAGTTAAATATGGGAATTAGGTATAGTGGAAAGCTATTATTTCAACTCGACAGAGTTTGAGGCCTACATAAAATAATCATTTTCTTCCTTTAAACAAACCCAAATGGAAATCTGAACAGTTTGAAGCAATGGGACTAGTGAGAAAGTGGGGAAAATGGTTAATTTAAAAAGAAGGTCGAAAAGGTGCTAGGGAGGCCTTCGAGTGGACGATGGCTCATATCCAGCCGATCGCCAAATAAATTTCGTTCAGAGTCCTAGGGCTGAAAAGTACAAGTGGAAAAGGGCAAAAGTGATGTTTAAATGGTGGCCAGAACCCAGAATCTTACAGGTGAATTGTTTGGAGGAGCCAAGCCGGGACTCGGGGCCCTTTCCTACCTCAGCGGCGCCACGCTCACCTCACAGCCCTTCACCGCACAGCCACGCCCGGGCAACGCTCACTTCCGGTCTCTGGCGCCAGCAGGTGGCGCCTCCCACTTCCTGTGACGTGTAGGTGAGTTCCACCCTGGCATGGAGCCAGGAGGACCTTGGTTGAGAGTAGGTGGGGTCTCTTCCGCGTGTTCTCTACTCAGCCCCAGACCTACAGTCATTACTACTTCTCAGTCCCCCTTCTTGAGGGCGTTCTCCTCAGCACCCCAGGATGGGAGTGGGCGTGTGTGGGTGGAACTCAAGGGTCCTTCCCTGGGCTTTGTGGCGGCCATTTTAGGAAAGAATGAGAGTTTAGGAATGAGATCTGGTAGAAGTCAGGTGCTGTCTGGAAGGGAGCCTTATTTGTGGAATTTTTTTTTTTTTAATTTTTGTTAATAGATTTTGAGGGGACAGAAGAGGAATTAAGGAAATAGGCAGAACAGTGAAAAAACAGCCAAAAATCAAGGGCAGGACTTCTTCTTCTTTTTTTTTTTTTTTTGATGCTAGGATTTGAACTCAGGTCCTTGTGCTTGCAAGGCAGGTGGCAGAACCACTGAGCTAAATCCCTGGCCCCCTGTGTCTTTTAACAGTTACAGAATCTCAAAATTCAAGAGGGCACTAGTACCTGAGAATGGTTGGTAGGATGATTGATGAGCAAGTAGTGTTAAAAGGATTTTTAGGTTGAGAGGTCAAGTGGGTCCCAACTTCATTATAGAAAACCAAACATTGTGAGCCTTTGTTCTGAAAACTGGCATGCACACACAGTATAAACAGATTTTGGCCCCAAAGCTCACTAGGAAAACATATCAAAATGGATAAATGGTGGTTCATCCTCCTCCTCCTCTTCCTCTTCTATTATTGTTATTATTTTTCTTGAGACAAGGTCTCAACATGTAGCTCAGGCTGGCCTCGAACTTGTGGCAATCCTCCTGCCTCAGCCTCTCCAGTGCTGAGATTACAGGTGTGTGCCACCACATCCTGGATGAATGGTTAAATGGCTGTACAATATGTACCTAAAAAAAATGGTAGACACTTTAAAATCCTGTAAGGAAGGAATCAGTGGAGTCTGAAATTACCTAGAAAAGCATTATGGAGAAAAGGGATTTGTGAACTTTGAAGGGGCCTGAACAGAAAAAAGGAAGCTGTTGGAGCCGGGTGTGGTGGCACACGTCTATAATCCCAGCACACGGGAGGCTGAGGCAGGAGGATCACTGTGAGTTCGAGACCAGCCTGGGCTACATAGTGAATTCCAAGACAGTCTCAACTACATAGTGAGACCCTGTCTCAACCCTCTCCCCAAACAAAACAAACAAACAAAAAGGAAGCTGTTGGTAATACAGGTAAAAGGGGTGATAATATATTGAAAAACTAAGATGTAAAAATGATATGACAAAAAATTATGTTCTCTAGATTATATAGGCAGTCTGGGAGGTTATGCTGGGTGCTGAAAAATTGGAGTTTCTAGCATATTTCAGTGGTTAAAGCCTAAATGTGACCTAAGGGAACCTATCCTGACAGCAAAAACAGTAGCTTTAGTGAAAAGGATCTTGGGATTGGATGTTTTATTTTTACGTGGATAATTTATAAAAATCACAGCCCCTGCCCCCATGAGCAATGCTTCAGTACTTAGATTGAGGAGAGTGCTGTATAGCTTTCAGTTCAGATTAAGACCTCAAAAAGAAATAGATGTTGATGGAAGACAGGTTCAAGCCATTCTTGCAGGCCTTGTGCATGCATGTGTCTGTGTGGTGTGTGTGATTGTGTTGTACTGGATGGAGATTGAACCCAGGGTCTTCACACTGAGATACTTCCTTAGCTTCCTTTAAAAAAATTTTTTTTTATTTTTTATTTTTTGGTTTTTTTGAGACAGGGTCTCACTCTGTAGTTGAGACTGACCTGGAACTCACTATGTAGCTCAGGCTGGTCTCGAATTCACAGCGATCCTCCTGCCTCAGCCTCCTGAGTGATGGGATTACAGGCATGTACCACCATGCCTGGCTTTAAAATGTTTTATTTTGATACTGGGTCCCACTCAATCACTAAATTGTCCAGGCTGGGCTCAACTTTGAGATCTTCCGCCCTCACTCCTGGAAGAGTGCTAGAATTACAGGCATGCCCCACCATGGCTGGCTGGTCTAGTGATTCTTAATCGTGTCTGCACGTTAGTCACCTAAGAAACTCTGAAGACATGCTCGGCTGAGTTCCCATTCCAGACCAAGTAATCAGAAAGAGACAGGAATAGTTATTTTTTAAAAACATATCCAAGATGAGTCTAATGTGCAGCCAGGGTTGAGAAACACTGACCTAGACACTGTTCAGAATTTACAAAAGCTATTCTTTTACCTGAGTGGCGTGGGTGATTCATATGAAGAAGGAATATGCTGTAAAGTGTTTTTTTTTTCAAAGATAATTGCTAAGAATGAAAGCTTCATTGCAAGCTTAGCACAAAGCATTTTAGAAACATTTATTGTTTTGCAAATCAGCTTCAGATTGTTAGGAAATAATTTTAGTGAAATCCTAACCTCTGACTTTATCACATCATTCATGTTGAATTAGTAAGGCCACAGTGAGTTGAACCAAAATGTGAATTTTCACATTTCAAATGGCAGTAATCTGGTGCAAGTGTTGTCACTGTTGCCATGATGTATAGATGTTTTTTATTCAGATACCTTCAAATTGAAATTTCTGAGGAAGAAAGAACTAAGAGCTTGAGAGGAAGAAGATTAAGTCCTAATCCAGAATCCAAAATCAGACTTTGCTGAATTCAGAAATGTGTTCAGGTGACAGGATCTTCAACTGTTAAAGCTGTTCCATTTAGCACCAGTGAACAAGCCTACCAACTTACAGACAAAAATTAAAAATGCCTTTAAGTGGTGATTTTGAAATAAAAACACACCACACATTTATTCTTTTCAACCCCAAAGCATTCTGCTTTATCTGAGATCCCTCCTGAGCTTGCTTTCAGATGGGTTTTCCAGCCCAGGTTGATCATATTTGAAAAGGAAAAAAACAAGAGACTTAATCTTTTAAACACCATGGTTGGAGTTAGTGGAGATTAATACACCAAACTTAGTTCTGATAATTTCTGGGCTTATTTGTGCATATTCTAGTATTTATCCTTATAGATTTTTAATTATTAATTAAAAATTTAAAGTTTATGGATTAATGATTAAAAAGACAAATCTGTACTTTAGTGATTGAAAAAACTTTGTTAGGCTGGGTATGGTGGTACACTCTTGTAATCCCAGCTGCTCAGGAGACTGAGGCAGGAGACCAAAAGTTCAAGGTCAGCCTGGGAATTTAGTGAGACTTTATCTTAAAAAAAAAAAAAAGCTGAAGATGTAGCTCAGTGGTAGAGTGCTTGCACATCATACGCAAGCCCTAGGTTCAGTTGCCAGTATTGTAAAACAAACAACAAAAACATTCATCAGAAAATGAGTATTTTTAGACCTTTGGATTGAAGGAATTCCAGTACTACTTCAGATACATCAGAAAGTTTCAGTGTTTCAGAAAGCCTAATAAAATAAAAATTTTCCCATCAGAAGACTAAAATACTGATTTTGTTTCTGACTTGAATTTTATCAACTAAGTCCTGGTCCTTTCACTTATGATTTCTGACTGGTGGTTAAATGTATAATTAAAAATAGAAAATAGAAAAATTATTCTATAAACAGTTGCAAATAAAAATAAAAGGTTATGGGGAAATGTGATAGGTATTCTTAAGTGGTGAGAATATAGTTATTGGCAACTATTGTACAGAAGAGAGAAAAATTGGAATTAGATATAGTTGTTCAGGCATAGTATCAGGGAGAAACTAATGAAAATAAATTTATGTAGCCAGGCATGGTGGTGCATGCCTGTTATCCCAGCACTCGGGAGGCTGAGGCAGGAGGATTGCTGTGAGTTAGAAGAGTTAGAGACCAGCCTGGGCTATGTAGTGAGTTCCAGGTCAGTCTGAACTACATAATGAGACCCTGTCTCAAAAACCAAAAAGAAAATAAAAGAAATTTATGTTTAGAAAAGAGTTGCTAATGAGAGCATACTAAAAAAAAGCCAAGATTTAACTCTAGAAATTTAAGTTACAGGATAAGTAGGGGAAAAAAAGAGGTGATATTTTGTTTGTCCTAATAAGTAAATGTTGCATATCTCAGTAATCTACATTGTCTGTAATCATCACCAGTATGTGGTACTTAAGAAGAAATCCATTCTGTGTTTCCCCCCTGTTGTGGGTAGTTCTTTTCCCCAGAATTCAAGAAAATATAGCTTCTCACACATTCTTTTTTTTTTTTTTGGTACCAGGGATTGAACTCGGGTCCTTGTGCTTGCAAGGAAGGCCACCGAACCGCTGAGCTAAATCCCCAGCCCAACACGTTCTAGTGCTGGCATTTAACATGTAAAGTGTAAGCTGAACTTTGTTAACTGTTCTAGTATCAAACAGATAGGTAAATAAATGGGAATATTCTGTTTTAGGGTTTTTGAGAGTCTTGCTGTGTAGCCCAGGCTGGCCTTAAACTCTCTGAGGTGCTCCTGCCTCGGTTTACTAAGTGCTGGGATTATAGGCATGTGTCACCACGCCCAGCTTGGGAACTTTTTGAAGATTGTTGAATAGAAGGTAGCATGGCAGAATTATGCCAGAGAAACTTTATGTGCTAACAATTATGTAAAAGGCTACTATTGCACAGAACAGCTTTAAAACTCCAATACTACCCTTCTTTAGATATGCTATTTTAAGGAATATGTTTAAATAGAAGACTTGTTCTCTCTGTGAAACCTTGTAACCTCTACTTGGGATTAAATCCTTACTTTTCGTTTGGTTTTGGTTTTGGAGCTACCATTTACCTTCCCCTTTCCTAGCACTTTTTTAGTGCCTTGTACCAGTGGTTCCGAAAGTGTGCTCCCCATATTGGTAGCACGAGCAACATCTGGAGACTTGAATAAATGCAAATTCGTTGGCCCTAGTAAGGCCTGAATCAGAAACTCTGGAAGGTGAGAGGCCTTACAGTTTTTAAACCTTCCATGTGATTGTGTTATCCATTAAAGTTTGAGAATCCTTCCCTTATACTGTAATTTTTAACATTGTTCCCTCATAATGGACCATGTCACTATAGTTTGCTTTTTTAAACTGAGGTGAGATTGACAAATTGTGTATATTTAAGGTTTACAATCTGATGTTTTGATGTAAGTACACCTTGTGTAATAATTACCATAGTGAAGCTAATTATCAAAACTGGGACATAGTTTTTTTTTTTTTTTTTTTTTTTTTTGGTACCGGGGACTGAATTCAGGCCCTTGTGCTTTTGAGGCAGGTGGTGGAACCACTGAACTAAATCCCCAGCCCACATAGTTATTTCCTTTTTTAAAAAAAATTATTATTTTTATTTAAATTGAATTTATTGGTACATTCTAGGTAGACAGTACAGTTACATTCATTACTGGGATCTTGTACCTTTACGTGCCAGGTCTTGGTTCTCATTTTTTACCCTTGTCCCCACCCTCCCTTCCCCCTCTCCTCCCTTCCCCACCTTCAAACACTTTAATTCCATTTTTACATTTTCTCATATTTTTTTTCCTTTTCCCTTATTCCCTTTTCCCTATCCTTCTCACTGTCCCTACACCTTTGGTCCTTTTCTTCCTATTTCATATTTCTAATTGCCCTGTTAGGATCTTAATTATTTCCTTTTTTTCCCTCCACAGTTATCTTTTGTGTGTGGTAAGAATGATTAAGATCTATATAGCAAATTTCAGGTATACAATACATTGTTTGTTTTGTACTGGGGATCAAACTTGGGTCCTTGCACTTCCAAGGCAGGTGGTGGAACCACTGAGCTAAATCCCTGGCCCCATTGTTTGGTTTTTTGAGACAGGGTTTCTCTATGTGGTTCAGCCTGATCTTGAACTCACTATGTAGCACAGGCTGGCTTTATACTCAAAGTAATTCTCCTGCCTCAGCCTCCTGAGTGCAGGGATTACAGCATGTGACACTATACCCAGCTTACAAATATATTGTTATTAACTATAATTCCCATGATGTGCATTCATTCTCCAGAATTTGTTGATCTCAGGTGAGTACAGTGAACCCTCAAGTTACAACTGGCCTGACATACGAACAACTTGGGTTAATTAGGTTAATGGAAGATTCATTTGCCTCTTGTTATCTATAATGTGTAATCAGGTAAAACATCCAGATCTCAGGTGTGTTGACTTACAAAAAACTTGAGTTACAACCAGCCCTCAGGAACTGATTGACTTCAGTGTCCATTGTACTTTTAGACTTTGACCAATATCTTCCCACTTCCCCTGTGCTGCTATAGTTCTTAAATAGTGTTGCAAATTTCACAGATACTTGATTATTTGACTGGAGTACACAGATATATTTTGTCAAGTGCTGTAAACTAAGATATCCATCTATTTTATAAAAGAGTATGTGCAGGACGGGGATTTAGCTCAGTGGTGCTGCCACCTGCCTTGAAAGCACAAGGTCCCAAGTTAGATCCCTGGTACAAAAATAAACAAACAAACAAACAGAGTATGTGGGAAGAAGAGACTAAAAATTTGAGATTTTACTTTTTTTTGCACCACAGGTGCTTGAAAAGCCTGCTCTAAAAGGCCCAGAAAGGCTTGTCACTATTCCATGAAAATAATTTGCCTTAGTAGGACTTTCTGGAGAAGAGAAACCCATTACCAGGAGTTTTGAAAGGTTGATTTATTCTGATGGAAATATTTAGCCCAGAGTATTGAATCTCATTTTACCTAAGTAAGGCTTTCTAGTATAGATTCTCTACATTTATCAGACTTGACTCTGAGCACAGGCTTATCACACAGTCAAGATCATATCTATCCTAAAGGATCTTATAGCTTAACAATAACAAAGCAGAATGAAAGTCAATAGCCTTCCTGTACATGAGTAACACACTCAGTGAGAGAAATTAGGGAAACAACATCTTTCACAATAGCATCTAAAAAATGAAATACTTAGGAATCAATTTAATGAAGTAAGTAAAAAGACCTTTCCACGTAAAACTATATTACTCTGAAAAAGGATTTCGAAAAGGATATCAGAAAATGGAAAGATATCCCTTGTTCTTGGGTAGGAAGAACCAATATGCAAATGGCCATATTTACAAAATTGTTATACAGATTTAATTCAATCCTGATCAAAATTCCAATGGCATATCTCATAGAATTAGAGAAATCAATCCTAAAATTCATTTGGAGCCAGAAGAGACCTACAATAGCAAAAGCAATTCTGGGCAACAAAGGCAAGGCAGGGGGCATCACAATCCCTGACCTAAAGTTATACCACAAAGCTACTGTGATAAAAAACAGAATAGTTCTGGCAAAAGAACAGAACTGAAGATCCATGGAACAGATTAGAAGATGCAGAAACAACTCCAGATGTACTTTGCCACCTAATCTTTGACAAGGGAGCCAAACCCCTTCACTGAAGAAAGATAGCCTCTTTTAATAAATGGTGCTGGAGAAACTGGCTTTCTACTTGCCAATGAGTAAAACTAAATTCATGAGCTGGGTGTGGTGGCACATGCCTGTAATCCTAGCACTCGGGAGGCTGAGGCAGGAGGATCGCTGTGAGTTTGAAACCAGCCTGGGCTACATAGTGAGTTCCAGGTCAGTCTCAACTACAGAGTGAGAACCTGTCTCAAAAACCAAAAAAACAAACCAAACCAAACAAAGTAAAACTAGATTCATATCATCACCATGCACTAAAGTAAAAATGAATCAAAGATCTAAATATTAAAATAGAAACACTAAATTGGTTGCAAGATAGAATAGGTAGAAATCTCAAAGACATTGGTGTAGGATAAGACTTCATGAACAAAAGCCCTGATCACCTAGGAAATATCACAAAGAATCAACAACTGGGATTTCATCTTATTAAAAGGCTTTTGCACAGTGAAAGAACCCATCAACAGAGTCAAGAGACAACCCACAATATGGGAAAATTTTTTCCCAGTTCTTCAAATTCTATACTATCTAAATTATATAAAGAACTAAAAAATATCAGACCACCCAAATTTAAAGACTCAATCTAAAAATGGAAATTTGAAATGAATAAATACTTCTGAGATGAAGAAGTAGACATGGAAAAAATATATGAAAAGATATTCAACATCAGTGGTCATTCAAGAAATGCAAATTACCCAATTTTTTTTTTTTTTTGTACCAGGGATCGAACTCGGATCCTTGCTCTTGCAAGGCAGGTGGTGGAACCACTGAGCTCAATCCCTGGCCCCAAGAGATTCAAATTAAGATCTGAGATTCCATCTCATTCCAGAAAGAATGGCTGTTATCAAGAAATTAACCAATAACATGGGGCTGGGGATTTAGCTCAGTGGTTCTGCTGCCTACCTCACAAGTGCAAGGTCCTGAGTTCAATCCCCAGTACCAACTGAATTATGTTTCCTGCCACACAGTTAAGATTTTCCTAAAGTTTAAAAAAGACTGGAAAATAAATCTTCAGTCTGTTGGCTCTTCAATCCACACTTCTCCATCAGTTTTTCTGCCTGTAGAGAGAAAGAAGATTGAGGTGATGTCATTTTGATATGAATGGTTTTATGAAGGACATAAGCTTGAGGTGTGTTCAGAGCATTTCAAATAGTCCTAGACAGCCTTTCCTCCCAAGTCTGATCGAATCCATCAGGACTTCCCCTGTCTCTGTTGTGTTTGTTTTTTACTAAATTTTATTTTATCCTATACTCCCCAACCCCTCTCCCCTCCATATGTAAAAAAGATTTGTTTCCACTTCCCTTATGTCTATTGTGAACAGAGGAGGGACTTAGAATAATAGTATTTGTTTAATTTTCTTAAAATTTTGTCTAAACTATATTAGTTTTTTTTTTTTTCTTGTACTAGGGGTTGAACCCATGGCCTTCATAGTGACCTATATCCTCAGGTCTTTTTTTTTTTTTTTTTGAGACAAGGTATCACTATGTATTGTAGTTCAGTCTGGCCTTGAACTCACTGTGTAGCCAAGGCTGCCCTTGAATTCCCAATGATCCTCTTGCTTCAACTCCTGAGTGCTGGGATCACAGGCATGTACCACCACATCAGCTTCCCAGGTCTTGTTAAGTCACTGAATTTCCCAGGCGGGGTTCAAACTTGTGATCCTCCTACCTCAGCCTCTCAGAGTGCTGGGAGTACAGGTGTGTGCTACCATGCCCAGCTATGCTAGTTTTAAAGTTATGTTACCTTTTATTGTTGTTAGGATGCTTAGCCATATCCTCTTTATTTCGGTCTCTTGAGTCACTGTAGGAGAGATCATAAGGGGAAAGTTAGTTGAAAACAAGGACTGGAGAATTAGTCTAGATAACTAGTTAGTTACAGGAGGTTAAATTATTTTGTCAAACATACTTGCCGTGTCAGAAAAGGGATTTTTTCTAATTTCTGTTTTGTACAGTATATTTATGCCTTATCCTTGGGTAATTCAGTTAATGGCTCTTAGAGCTCTTAAAAGTTCCTTTCAGGCTGTTTGGTTGGAGATCCTGACCTGGTTCTTTCTCTTTCATATATTAAGGAATTAGCCTTTTTTTTCTTTGAAAATCTTACACAGAATCCAGAATTTTATGTGTACAAGTTCTTTATGGAAATACAATCCCAAGTGGAGCCATTGAGAAGCAAAGGGAAGCACTCAGAGCCTGCCTCACAGATCTTTAGTAGTTGAAGCTTAGTTGTCTGCCATGCCTGTGCCCATTTCACTTTTAGAGCCCAGTTCTCCAATTTGACAATGAAAATACATTTTACCTTTCACAAACCAGCATTTTTGGAGTAAAAGTTTTAAGAATGAATGAAGAGTGATCCATGGTATCTAGAAAGAAGGAGAGGAGGAGTAGGTGACACAAGTACTAAGCATTTTATATCATTGCAGAGAAGACTAGCTGGCAGCAGGTGTTTGAGCCTTCCTTCGGCAGTTGTCCCTGGGAAGTGGCTGTTCTGCCAGGGACTACTTTCTCACTTCTGTCACGTTTAGATGTGATGACGTGACTAGTTTTGCCAATGAAATAGGAATGAAAGTATTTTCTTCTGGAGTGAGGCGCTTTCTTCATTCTCCTTTTGTGGCAGCTTTGAAAGCTAAATGTTTCTAGGTGACAGCAAGATGAAAAGAGTGTTTTTCCTTGAACAACTGTCACTCATCCAATACTTGAACTGGGATTTACACAAGAAAACTGTTGTGTTAAGTCACCATATTAACATGGTATGGAGGTTATATGTTATAGGGGCTAGCGTTGCTCTAACACACACACATCTTTATTTTGTGATGTTGGAGGTTGAACCTAGTTCTTCATGCATGCAAGACAAGCACTCTGAGCTACTCTCTAGCTCTGATTTAATATTAAGACTGACTGTGAGGCAGTCTTTTATAGTTGAAGATGTGTTTGAGAAGTAACTTGCCTTAAAGTGAGAGCAGACTGTTGACCCTAGATATGACTGAAAGCCAGAAATGTCTCCATTATAACATGCTGCATCATAGAGACAGGATATTACTTGAGATAAGTGATAAATCCCAAATTTTCAAGTTCCAGATGTGGGTAAGATCAGAATCTTTTTTTAAAAAACTCTACTGTATGTTAAACCCAGAGCATTTATACTCAGCTAATCCCCCAGGCTTTTAAAATTTTGATACAGGGTCTTGCTAAGTCACAGAGTTGCCCAAGCTGGGCTTGGGCTTGTGAGTCTCCTAACTCAGCCTCCCAGAGTACTGGGATCACAGGTGTGTGCCTCCATACTCAGCTGAATATCGGAATCTTTTAACTTATAAGTGAATTTAGATTTTAGCTAGGGCCTTTGTTACTGGGCTAACTCTCCAGAGACAGGTGAAATTCTTAGATTTACTAATTGGATTGCTTAGTGAAGAGTTTTGTGGGAAAAGTATCAAAATTTAATTATCCAGGGCTGTGTTTATTAGCAATGATTATGCTCACCTACGTTCCAGACAACTGCATCAGGAATCTGATTGGCAGAACTAGAAAGTTTTTCATTTAATTCCAAACTTGGAGAAATAAACTTGGGAAGATTAACTGGTTCTGCAATAAAACACCAGGAATTATAAGAGTAGAAATTTCCTTTGTATATTACTCTTCTGTTAAGGCTTCCATAGTTATGAGGTGTGGTATAGGGAATAATAGAGTTTAATGTGGCTTACCTGCCACCAAAGTAAAAAACTTACCATCATCTATAGCATTTCTGTAGACACAGTTAGCCTCATGTTCCTTGAGCCTTTCGATTGGAACCACATGACAAGCATTATATTTGCAGTTAGCCATCCTTTTAGCTATGTTTGGATTTTTCTAGAAAGAAAAAGTTCTTGTTAGATTTTGCTTGTATTCTACCCTCAACTAATTTCTGGAAATACTGAAGAAATATATTTCAACATTAAGAACTTCCAGGTGCTACATATGATCACAAGCTTTTGTTAACTTTTACTCTTTATATTTTGAGCTCATTTTTTCCCCTCTAGGGATTTGTAGGTCTTATCAGAAAAACTAACCTTTTTGCATGATGCCAGGTGGTACTGTAACCTGCTGGCTGGCATCCTGTGGGTTGGGTTATAAGGACATATTTTTAAGGCTTCTGGCTCCATGAGGCCTAAAGAGCAGAAACCATGGGTTGGCAAATAAAAGATTGACATTTGAGATATGGCAGTCTTGACATAGGCCTATTTTCTATTTTTGAAAGAAAAGTGGAATGAAATATATAGGTATCTCGTTGGCAAATAAAAGATTGACATTTGAGATATGGCAGTCTTGACATAGGCCTATTTTCTATTTTTGAAAGAAAAGTGGAATGAAATATATAGGTATCTCAAATTTTACCTATAAAGTTTTGAATTAGTAAAGCAACAGCCTAGCCAGTTAAACAATAGAGGAAATTCACTTCTTCCATACCTTGAAAGACCAAAATTTAATTTTTGTACACATCTTATAGGTTGTGTTAAATAGTTGTGTGGCTCTTCAATAGAGTATCACAGACTTGGGATGAAATGCAGTACTTAACACTGAAAACCTGAATTTTGGAGAAAACAAGGCTGGTGTAGCAGATTCCTTTACTGCTCAGTATTGGTACCTTTCCTCCCTTCTCCAGCTTAGTTAAATTAATCTCTTTGGCAGGGAAAGATGCTCATTATCATATAGGTCAGCACAGCCACCTTTGGAGGAGAATGAGCAGTAGTACAATGTTCACATTCAGGCCACTTTGTAGTTACTTAAGAACATCAGCCTGAAATCTCTAAGGTTGTACATATTAATACATAGAGACTCATAGAAGTGAACTAAAAATACAACATCTCAAATCTGCTACATTTTACTGCCAATAGGAGGCCTACTTTTTCCTATGACTAGCTGTCTTTAGCAATCCTAGCAGACATTACTTTCAAGAGACTTCTAAGTTTCCAGGCAACAGCTACAGCTGAGATTTCTGCAAAGGAGAGATGTATAGTTTAATGGGGGTGGGGTGGCGAGGAGATCAAGGCAGACTGGCATAAGTAGGAAGGATAGAAAAGTGCCCTAGAATAGCCCATTTCAATTCTGCCTTGTATCATGCCTAGGGCATAGACAAAGGGCACAGAGCTAGACTGTTAAATGTCAGATTTTCCTGAGGGCATTTTGGTAATTAAATCCATGGATTAGACTCAGGTAGCTTTTAGGAACATGAGTGTAGTTCTTTAAAGCTTTCACTACATGTGAATGAACAGCTTGGAGCCATGAATACTTATTATAAAGTGAATTTGCTTTTTTCGGAAAATAAAGGCCTCAATATAATCCAATATTGTATACAGTTACTCTTAGGTTCTGAAAGATAATGAAAAAGGTGCTATGATACCCAAATATAGTTTTCAGAACCCCAAAGCCTTATTTCAGCTAACAGCCTAGAAAAACATGAGTCTTGACCAGAATGGTAAGGCTAGTCTTAACAAAGACTGCTTCAGAATAGGCAGTGACAACTGGTGACATTGGATTGTTCACCTAATTGATGATGATGATGATGATGATGATTTTGAGTTGGGTCTAGCTAAATTGCCCAGGCTGTCCTTAAATTAACAACTCTCCCTTGTCAGCATCCTGGGCAGCTGAGATTACAGGTGCACACCATCACACGCAGATTCACCTAGTTATTGATAGATGATATCCCAATGTAGGGAGGCCAAGACTGATGGAGATCATTTTTTTTTTTTTTTTTTTGGTACCGGACTTGAACTCGGGTCCTTGTGCTTGCAAGGCGGGCCACCGAACCGCTGAGCTAAATCCCTGGCCGGAGATCATGTGTTTTAACACAGGTTCGTTTTGGCAAGACTATTCCAGGCTTGATGCCTTCTTGACACGTAAACCTAGCCTAAATGATCTTGAGACCTACCTTATCTCAAAATAGTGTCTCTCAAGATTCTCGAGGGAACTGTCCATGGAGGAGAATACAGTCCTTCTGTCTGGCAAACAAGGGGATCAGATGAGGTGTTTGAGATGAGAGAAACCGCAGTATCTTTCAGGAAATGATGGGAATCAACATGCTGTTCAAGCCTTCTGTTAATTCCTTTCCTCCCACCATAATGTCTGTAGTTTAGGGAAGTCTTAGGGAAGTGACTCTCAGTCTTGCTGTGCATTAAGAATCACTGAGTAGTTTTAAAGTACAGATGCTTTGGTGTCACTCTAAAACAATTGGATGAGAATCGCAAGAGTGAGGGCCAGGGGTTTGGCTCAGTAGTCCTGCTGCCTCCCTTGCAAACTCAAGGGCCTGAGTTCACTCCCCAGTACTGGAAGAAAAAAAAAAAATCTCAAGAGTATAGTCAGGCTGAGTGTGGCTTGAGTATGGCTTTAAAGAGGCTCCGCACAGGATTGTGATTTGCAGCTGGGTTTTGCTGTAGGTAAATTAAATGCCTTTAGGAGGGCTCCCCCAGTTCACAAGAGGAACTGCTGAACAGTCTTCCCAATAAGATTTCTCTGAAGACTACCAGTTGGCATGATTAGTCCCATCTTTAAACCTGGCCTTGGGCGGGGGATTTAGCTCAGCGGTTCGGTGGCCTGCCTTGCAAGCGCAAGGACCTGAGTTCAATCCCCAGTACCAAAAAAAAACAAAAACCCCCCAAACCCTGGCCTTTTGAATTTACAGAGTACCAAATAGAATTCCACAAAAAGTGACATAAAAAGCTCACTATAGGGCTGGAGATTTAGCTCAGTGGCGCCAGTGCCCGCCTGGCAAGCACAAGGTCCTGAGTTTGAATGCTGGTTCTGCAAAAAAAAAAAAAAGCTCACTATATACATTCCTAACCTAATGTACTAGGCCTTGAGGCCAGTGTTTACATTTGTTCAACTATTTTTATCACTTCTGCTATTGTATGAGGGATCATCAACATAAATAGATTAGGCAACCAACTCAGGATGATGGAAAGCCTATAGTTGTAAAGATAAAATGTGTTCGAATAATATTAGTATTGTTTGAGGTAATACACACTGAAATGTCTGGTATATAGTAAATAACTATGTTACTGTTTTGCATGTACTGATCCATTTTATATACAGAGTAGCCCCATAGTAACTCCCAGATAGGAGTTATTATTAATATCATCTCCATTTTACAGGGAGGGAAATTCTGTCAGCTGGTAAGTCATAGAGGCAGAATGTGAACTCAAACTACCTGACTCTAGAACCTGGACTCTTAGCCTCCAAGGCATAAGGCTTCACTCACTGTACTTAACTATGTTTAAACCCAATCCTGACTGATACCAAAATGTGAACTTTCCCTACATACCAAGTACAGAAGAACAAATATTTCCAGGCTGCAGCAGTCTCTCACTTCAGTAGGCAAGGGAGTATAATAATGAAATGGGCAAGTAAAGAGAAAATCTGATTTAAAGGTAAAATAAACCAAGTGCTGTAAGAGTTCAGCAAGGGCTGGACTCGGGTGTATTGAGCTAGATCCTGAAGACTGAATAGAGTTTGGTCAGAGGGAAACAATGTGTGAAGGCAGAAAGGAGCACGGCACATTCACAGTAGGTGGAGTACACAGTCCCGGCTAGGTTGGGGAGTCCGTATTAAGGGACTGCAGAAGACAAGATTGGCTTGAGATGGAGACTCTTCAATCAAATTCGGGGATGAGAATGAGGAATACAAGTTCAAGAACCAAGAGGACAATACTCACTCTGAGAAGGTTGGTGTTGTTTTGGTTCTCAGCTGCCCAAATTTTGACCTCTTTTACAACCTTCTCTTTATCCTCCTCCATCAAGGTAAAAGACCAATAGGAATCACACAAATCTCTTTAGCAGATCCCAGGATTCTTTGATAACAGCAGGTGATTCAGATTTTCAGAACCAATGTAGCATTATTCCAGTGTCGTAGCTTTTTAGGGACACAATCCAGAAAATAAATTGGAGATAGATTCTCTTTTCAAAAATCATCTCGCTTAGAGATGTTTGAAATGTAACATTTTAAGCGTTGGCATCTTTTTTTTTTTTTTAAAACATTCTTTTGGGAGCAAACACATTCCTTAGATAATGCTAATCAGTTCTGACTCTTTCCCTATTTCCCTAATCACCAGGATTTATTGGAACCTGTAAGAGGTCTGGATATTGAGGAATGGGAATAACTGAAAAGCAAAGAAAAAGTATTGGAAAAGATGTGGCTGCAAAGATGACTCTGATTTAGAATTTTTCCTAGGGCCTTTTTTCTTTGGCTATGTATTGTAAAAGAAACAAAATGAGTTGAAATTTTCTTGAGTTCAAGGTTAAGGTTTGGCTCAAATGGCAAGAATATTTCAGTGTGGCCAGGGATTTAGCTCAGTGGTTCCACATCTGTGGTACTTGCATCGCAAGTGCAAGGGCTCGAGTTCGATTCCTGGTACAAAAAAAAAAAAAAAGGCTATTGCCAGGCGCCAGGCGTGGTAGCACATGCCTGTAATCCCAGTACTTGGGAGGCTGAGGCAAGAGGATTGCTGTGAGTTCAAGACCAACCTGGGCTACATAGTGAGTTCTAGTTCAGTCTCAACTACATAGTGAGACCCTGTCTCAAAAAAAAAAAAAGAGTATTTTAGTGTGGAATTTATTCAGTCTTCTAAGATTTAAGGGTCATTATTAATTTCCTCTTACTAATCTTGATTATTTGGTTCTTTTTCATGGAGCTTATTTCTCAATTTGGTCATAATGACTCAAAAATAAGCCAGTGTATTTATTAAGTGGCAGATGTATTCAAGAGGTGTTCTAGCTGGGTGTTTTTCAACATGTGTCCCCTGGAACATTTGTAACAAAACCTCTGAAGGTACTCAGAAATGCAGATTTCTAGGCCTCTACAGAATTACCTATCTGAATCTCAGAGGACAGGGATTGATCTCAGTTTTTTTTTTGGCACTGGGGATTGAACTCAGGTCTTTGTGCTTGCGAGGCAGGCGGCAGAACCACTGAGCTAAATTCCTGGCCCCTGATCTCAGTTTTTAAGCACCTAAAGTACTATTATACTAGAGCAGTTGTTCTCAAACTGGAAGTGCATTGGAATTACCTGGAGGGCTTATCAGAGTGTAGACCCAGCTCAGAGTTTTGGATTCAGTAGGTCTGGGATGGGGCCAGAGAATTTTCATGCCTAACACATTTCCAGGTAATATGATGCTGCTTGACCACACTTTGAGAATCACTGTACTAGAGCCTTGTGAAGGATATTAGGAACAATTCCTGTCATTAGGACCATATGTAGTACTTGAATAAGATCTATCTAAAAAAATATAAGGACTAACACACATATGTATATTTTGGCAATTTACAATATAATATTTGACATTGGATGGGTTAGACGGGATTTGATCTGCCTTCTAAAAGATGACAAGGCCTAAGGTTCAGTAGACAATCATACATTCTTGATAGAGACATAAAAGGGGGAAAGTGTAGAATGTATGGGGGTGAGGTGGTAGACAACTTGCTGGTGTGGTGTAGAACTTTGTCCAGGACACTTGTGGTGGGCTTTGGCCAAAAAGATTGGTGCCACACCATAAAGAGCCTCGAAAGCCTGTCCCTTATCCCTGCCACCACCCAACTCTCAGCCTTACCGAAATGCCCAGAAAGAGGAAGTCTCCTCTGCTGAGTATGCAAGAGGAAGCACAGGAGGCTGTAAGGGCCTGTGAGCCACAGTGACTGCTCTCACCCATGAGCCAATTGCAGAGGCAACAGGAAGACCAGCGCACCAACCAGGCTGGATTCCTCCACCCGGAAGGTGTCACCACCCAAGCTGAGAGTGTTTGGGGAGAGCAGGCATTACTGTTCGGGTGCTCCTCTCTCTTGGTGATCATCATGTCTTTGACCTCTGCTTACCAGCATAAATTAGCAGAGAAGCTCACTATCCTGAATGATCGAGGTCAGGGGGTTCTCATCCGTATGTACAACATCAAGAAGGTAAGTTGGACCAAGGGGACCGGTACTAATCATTACACTGTAACTAGGCAGGGAAACCCGAGCCTGGCAGGTCCAGAAGTTAGACTCCCTCCACTTTTCCACTGCTTCTACTGGCCTTGAGTTATTTGCTCAGATTGTGTAGGCCAGGCAGTTTGGGAGGCAGGGGAAATCTTCTTTTTAGGGGCTTCCTTTTCTAGGTCTGATTCTCATTCTAGGGAGAGCACTTGCTTTCTGCTGGGCCTGAGAGTTAGGGGTGGGGTGGCAGGGAGAATAATTGTTATTTGGAGAAAGGTTTAGAATTCTGGATCTTAAATATTGCTGATCCTCTACACTCTTGAGGAAATCTAAAGTTGAGTCTCTGCAAAAACTTTTTCATGGAAGCAATTTCCTTAAAGGAAAAAGATACTTAGGGTTTTAAAAGTTAGGTGCCTTTTGAGGCACTTTATCTTAGGCAACTCATCCTCAGTTTGTATGTGTTGTTTAGGATGGAAACTGTGAAACTGGGAGAAGCTGGTGGGCTAGGGGCTGGGCAAGTCACAGAAAGTAAAGAGATAAAGACAGATAATTGTGGGACATTCCTGGAAGAGAAAATAAGAGATTTGAGGGGAGAGAACTTCTGTGCATTTTGTAATAAAACAAATCATGAGGAGCATAGATTTTCTGTGTCTGTGTCTCCAATAAATGCCCTTTGGGATAAGATATTTATATAATGGACGGTGTTTCACACAAATTCTAACTTCTGAGCAGCCACTTTCTCACTACTTCCGGCTTCAGTTCAGAGACAGGGAAACTGCTTCCTCTTTGTGCTAGGGCCAAGCAGATGTTAAGCTTTACCCAGCAAGACAAGATTTCCAGGTGGTTAGTTAGCTCTTAGTTGGCTTAATGTCCTGGGACTTGTTCCTGACCTACAATCATGCAGTTATAATTAATTCCCAGATTGCCTTTCCTAAGGGAGACTGAGAGTGAATGATGTAGGAAGAACTACATTTCTGAGGGGCAGGAGAAAGGATTGAAATATAGTATGATTTTCTATGCAGACTTGTTCAGACCCCAAGTCCAAGCCACCTTTCTTACTGGAAAAGTCTATGGAATCATCTGTCAAGTACATCAACAAGAAATTTCCCAACCTAGATGTCCGAAACAGCACGGTGAGAATTCAGTCCTTCTTATCTCTGAAATAACTATGCTTGAATGGCTCACTTTCTGTCCTCTAACTACTGCTTTTCTATTTTAGCAGGGGATGGGGTAGCCTTCTTTCAGTTTTCCTAGACTCAGGTGCAGGTTTCAGGTTGGAATGCAGATTTAGGTCTTGAGAACTCTGAGATAAGATGAGAGTCTCTCAAGGTAAGCTAGAGTAAAGCATTGCCCCTTCCTCCCTTGCAGGATTCATGAGAACACTGTGCTTGTAGAGGAAGATAGCTCATCAACCCAGCAGCATGAAAATATTTTATTGTCCTTCCTGTTTCCTACTCACTGTTTCCACACTATTTGTCTTAGAATTATGTATCTACTGGAATATCCCTTACTTTTTCTTTATTAAATGTTAGTCCTAGATTTCCTTCTTTCTTTTTCTTTTTGGTACCAGGGATCAACTCAGGACTTTGTGCTTACAAGTCAGGTGTGGTGCCACTGAGCTAAATCCCCAGCCCAGCCTTAGATTTCTTACCTATCTACCAGTAGCATCTTCTCATTCTGCTTCTTTTTGCTTTGATATAAATAGTATGCCTCTTCAACTGAAAGGAACCGTGAAATTTTCTCTATTTTAGATTTATCTAGTTAGAATTACCTGCAACTATACTGCTAGTCTCTCAGTTTAAAGAGAATATTGGAGAAGCTGTATCTCCTCTGCCAGTTTATTTCAATCCACTAAGAATGATCAGGTATTATCCCTGTTCTTGAGTTATTTTGATTAATTGTTTTTTTATTTAGCATTTTTTGGTTTGGTTTTGTGTTTCTTTCAGCAACACTTAGGACCTGTACATCGAGAAAAAGCTGAGATAATCAGATTCCTCACCAACTACTACCAGTCATTTGTGGATGTCATGGAATTTCGGGTGAGCTGTTTCTAGCCCAAGTTCCCAACATAGTGTTTTCTTTCAGAAGTGATTCTTTCTTTAGTAGATGTTCACTTATATGAGCATCTTTTTTTTAAAAAAAAATGGTACTGGAGATCAAACTCAGGACCTTGTGCTTGCAAGGCGGTGCTGAAACCACTGAGTTAAATCCCCAGCCCTAAAAATATCTAAGTTGTAATGAAAGCAAGTTACAGAATAGTATGTGATATA